TAGATATCGAGTAGACTAGAAGATTAAGTTTATTTTTCAACCGGTTCGAGTATTAAATCTGGTTTTGACAGTTGGTGCACAGGTAAAAAGCGATGTTACGGGACGCCACTTGTATTTAGTTTAGTTTAGTTTTTCGGGTTGGCCAAATTGATCTTCTAAGCTCTAAATTTGGATAACTACTTTGTAACAGTATTTATTGCTCGTTTGACTGCAAACCGATACGAATTTTTGGTTGGCAGCTCTTCTACCCGTGCTTCGCAAGTGTAACTTCCAATCGCAACTCACTTGCGACTTCGGATTAGTGGTGCGGGAGGAATAAATCACTCACTCAATCATGTTTCCTCCTGGCAGTGGGGCATATGGCCAACATGGAAGCCTGGGTTGTTTGTTTTTGCCTTTATCTGGGTTAAGGTTAGATTTTTGTTGAGGTTCCGTCGCCATGAGACCCTCTGGGTCTGCCTCAGCTGTGATGTCCTGATGAGTTCCAATCCTGCGCTTGCTGGGAGATTTCGTTTCCGCCCCTTCATAGTGTACTTCGTATGAATGTTCACTCAAAAAATTCCACACATTTTTATTTGCGAAATCCCATGTGGAATTCCCAGAGGCCTGGCAACCCTGAACAAACCTATAGCGTTTGACAAGCCTACATGTTGGGCCTTATTCCATTGTCTTTACCTGTTGCGGATAAAGTCGCTATATTCATAGTCTTCTTCTTATTTTTCTTCTTCTTCTTCTTCTTCTTTCTTTTATTTAACGTCGGTCTCTGTTCCGTAATCTAGTGCCAATCATCGACGGACATCGATTGCCATCCATTGACGGCAATCGAATGTGCAAGAAGGCAGCTTCCACACCTGCGTAGGATGATATCGCACTCATTCAAACACACATGGGCCGGAACCAACGGCTTTACTTCCCCCTTCCGAAGGAGACAAGAGATTTTTATGTCTCAGAAAAATCCCACCGTCCTCGGCTGGGATTGAACCCAGACCCATTGGGATGAGAACGCAGTCACGCTTACCACTACACCACCGGCACCGGCTTATATTCATAGTCTGGCGGATAGAATCTCGGGAACCAATTGAGCTGTCAAATAGCAGAAAAGAGCACATCAGCTATTGCGAACAAAATTGTGGAAACCGTTTTCTCGTGACTCAAGGCTCGCCTACACAAACTAACACCATCTTTAGGTTGTGGAAAGTTTCCCCTATCCGATGATGCTGATAATTTACCTTCGATTGGCGAGAAAATAATAATCAATGTTTTGTTTATAAAACTTGATATGTAGTACCTTTTCAATTGTTGGTTTACAATATATTGAATTGGTTCCGCTTTTTAATAGATCGAAATTCTATCCGCCAGACTATGAATATAGCGACTATAGGTTCTCCCTCTTAAAAAACGTAAACAAATGAAAAAAAAAACATTGTGTATGGACATTGCGATAGAATCCACAAATGACTGTTGTCATGACAGAATTCCCTTGTAAAATCACCCATGATAGGGGTCATTTGTGGATTCTATCAATGCTGTCCTCAAATAGATACAAATCAGTGAAAGTAGAAGATTCTGTGCAAATTGGAACCGATTGGACCGAAACGCAAACCGGTTGGACATGAGTGTTTCCGATTTGAATGAAACATTACTCATATGTTCGCTGCTATCAATAGTTGCATTTTTCATTTAAATGTGATCTGTTTCTCCAAAGTACCTTTTAAAAAAGGCGTCTTTACAAAATGTATTATATTTTTTCAAAAAATCATAACATGAAAATGATGGATTTGATCAAAATCAAAATTACATCTGAGCAGAAGTTGTAAATACCCTAAAAGAAATGCTCAGTAGATTCATAGTAAAAAAATACGTTGATTATCTCAGAACACTCCCCTCCTTCGATTTTTATGATTTTTGTTTTGTAAAGAAAGCTGAAGTAGAGAATCGGGGTAAGCTGCTGGTAACTTGCTTCAAAAAATTCTATACTTTTTTTTTAAATTTTTGTTGATTTTCAAAATAAAGGGGGAACGGTCAAAAATTGGTCAATCATGATTAAGTGCACACTGATTATGTTGTTGTATAAATGATCAAACTTTATTTCTTTTTGAAGTTCAATGACAGCAAAATACAGGAAAATTATGTAATAAGGCTTCCAATTTTCTAAATGAGAACTGTCGGGCTTTACGTTTTACAACTTCCATCAGATTTTGTACCGCTGTTGTATCAACCTTATTTAATGCTGAACGACAATTTGCTTTGAACTGTTTCTCATTTCCAACTGTTTTCTGAGTTTTTTTTTTCTTCTTGAGGTTCCGCTTAACGATTACCCAATATTTTTCAATTATTTATATTATTTGAGTAGTAGCTATACTGAAGATCCGAGAGATGTCGCCCCTTCATTGTTAGGAAAATCATTTTTGCAGTATGGAGAAATCAGAAAATCCACGATTTGTGACTAAACATGCTTTCACACAAGGAAACAAATTGACGAGTTTTTACCTTATAACCATAGTAATGTACTCGTGCAATTTTTGTGCATCTCAAACTGCTCATAAAGACGATAATGAATAACATTTTCATGCGTTTCCAAATGGTTTCCTACTATTCCCATCCATTTGAAAGTGACTGGCCCTCTGGATGTGGATGATGTCAAAAACCACAAAACATGATTAATTGGGTGCAGCTCCAGCGAGTTTGAAGGGTTTTGGTCCTTGGGTACGACTTGCACGTTGTTGGCGGTATACCGTTCCAGAGCCATTCTTTCCCGTAGTGACAGGAAGCGAGGTCTGGCCAAAACAACACGGAACAACTGTGTTTCATCAAAAAAGGTAACAATCGTTTTTGCAAACATTTATTTTCATAAATATCTTGGTTGACAATGCCAATGCCATTTCGCAGGTGCAAATCGCCAAGTATTTTTTCGGGAAATTTGACAACTTTGTCTTCTTAAACTTATCTTGAACCTTCCCTTTTCCGGTAGCCGTGTGAACTCTTAACATGGGAGCTGCTTGGAATCCACCTTGACGTATATTTCATCGTTCATTATAACGCAATCAAATTTCTGTCGCAATAAATCTGCGTGGGCATAATTTAGATTTCGCTTATGCGCGATCAAAATATTGATACGCTTTTCCTCTTGCTTCGACGTCATTTTGACAACTGAATAGAAAATGGCAAAAACAAAATAGAGGCAGCATTCCGTACGCACAGATTTACAAAATGAGGGGTATTCAAGTTTTTTAAATGTACGATTAAAAAAAAAATACCAAATTTGAGTCGACCAATTTTTAACGGTTCCACCCTTTAGTATAATTAATATTATTCCAATCTTCTTTTTCTAGGCTTTTTACGCATCTGTAGCGAGCGTTTTGCCGGCTCTCAACTTAGTGTTCTACTATATGCACTTCCACAGTTATTAATTGAGAGCTTTCTTTACCAACCAATGCACGAATTTGTATATTGTGAGGCAAGCACAATGATATGTCCACGGAAGTCGACAAATTTTCCAATTCAAAAGATTTCCTCGACCAGACCCGGGAATCGAACCAGCCACCTCAGGCGTGGTTATACCGTGCCTTTACCGCCTAGGCTATCTGATGCCCCTAAATAATAATCAAATGAAGTATGTAAAAAGAAGATCACATATAATCGCATATCAGCCCCATATGGATTTTTGTCAATTTTGAGATAACAACGCTATCCACTATCAATTGGCATCTACTTTTATATTACGTGATTAAACTACGGACTTTGATCATGAAAAATGTGAAACAACAGTGAGTCTGTTTGTACCATCAAGCAAAATAATCGCATATCAGTCCCATCCTAAAATTCAATCGTGCATAGTTCAAGTTATAGTTTTGTTTTTCAAATTGCCATATGTTTCGCTGATCCAACAAAACATAAACGCTTAATTCCAACTGATCTTAACTTGAATATATTATCGTGGGAATTACACTTCGTAACATCAACGGTCATTTTCTCAATGCCTACTTTTTCCATATGGGACAAAGCAGATCAAGTCTCCCCTAATTCTTATAGCAATTTAGTCCAATCTCTGCTATTAATAATTGATATAGCTAAAACACTATCCTGTTTGGCTTACAACATGTCATAACTCTCCACTCTGAACATAGGAACACCCTTAAACAATCTAATCGATCATCTATTGGTACATAAACCGTTCGGAAACAGCGCAGCGTCTTTGTGTTGCCAAATTAAGTGGCTTATCCGATGCTTTTTTAATGTCATATCACATTTTTGTACATGAGGATTCACTTGGACCCATGTTTGAAACAAATTCGCGGTGTTAAATATACAAGTCCTAATTATTATTGTGGCCGATTAATTTAATTGAGTGTCCGACGTCTGTGGTGGAAGGCAGCAGAGCTGGGATGGTAAATGGATTCATCGTTGAACTTGAACCGAGCATCAGCAGCGAGCGCCCGTCGCTGAACTGCGGCATTTATTTAGTCGTTTCACGATCATCGTGTTAGACGCACTACCCGTAGATATGTGTTGCTGAGCTGGTTAAAGTTGTTGTGATTTGATGATTAATTATATTGTCGGTGTCGTCGTGTCGAAAATTTCGCCTGGGTGAAACCGAGCACGATTGACCCATGATTAAATACGAATCTGAAAATTGTGTCACGGTGTCTCTTTTTTTTTACGTGGTTCCCAGAAAAGGTTTTGTAATTGTTGTTAATTGTATACTTATATGTGCATATAAAGTGAATTGAACGAAGAGCACTCGTGATGCGTTGACTATTCCTATAATGGAACTTTACCGTAGGAGAACGACAAATATGGTTGTATAATGCGAGTACATGCGAGAGTGGGTGTTGGGATGTGAATTGAAAACATGTGTCCCCAACTGATGAGCTGTTAAGTGGATTGCGATTCTGTGCGAAAATGTTGGTTTTTGTGAGCAAATTGGACGTGTATATAGACTATTGTAAGATCTGTATTTACTGAATTTCACTGAAATAAGTTTCTCTCATGTATTACAGATGATAAGATGCTGATGGAAAGGTGCTCTCAGACGATCGTATCTTTTGGAGCCTGAGTGGCAGTTGATGTTTGCTACAGCATTCAAAATGTCGTCGACACACCCTTACCACCGTTAGGTGAAGCGGCTAGCTTCTAATGGAGAATCAACCATACGTTCGCTCTTCATCCTTGTTGCACGTGGAGGATGAAGAAGAATACCGAGAGGAGGAAATACTACACCAAGATGCAGTGATGCTAAGAGACGAGAGCCAGCCAACCTTTCCTGGCTCATCGCTAGCTACATCTAATAGGATCTCAACGGACTCAACATCTACGTACGAAATAGTTGACAGTCAATCGCCAGAGTCTAATGACGAAATGTGGAGCAACGTAGTGAAGATCACACGAGCTACCAATGCCACTGTAGCTGCGATGGTTGGCATTGCTTCGGGTCAAGGTTTGGATGAAGATCGAGACCAAGATGAGGAGGAGTATGAAATTCAGGAAACCGAAGAAGACATGTTGCAGCAGAGACGAAAGTTTGAACTAGCAAGATCTTCAACCAAGGAGGAAAAACAGCGCCAAAACGAAGAAATTTTAATCATGAAATCAAACTCCGTTTCATCGGAAAACAATTCTTGGGAAACATTCTCTCCGTCGAAGCCAGTCACAGAATCTTTCGAAGCTGCAACAGATCCAGCTGAAATCCCTTCATTGGTGCAAAGTAAGCCGGGAACATCGAAAGCATGCTTCATAGATGCTTCATCGTTATATGACGAAGACGAAGTTCCTTATCCTTCATTCATGGATTCAAGTTTGCAGCGACAGCAACAGGAGAAAGCATCAATTTCCTTATCGGCTATCCTAAGTGATGATGAAAAACTGAAGAGCACCAACAGTCAAGCTCAGATTGAAGTCAAAGATCAGTACTCTTCACTACCGGATAACGAATTTCTTACCAATAAATTGCACATCAAAGAACGCGAAGGCACAGAGTGTACTGAGGAAGCAATTGCCAGGCAAGAATCGGAAAGGAAACAGGGATCGTTTCTGTTCCAGAATTCAATTCAGCAGTATTCTGGTCATCTATTAGAACCTAATTTACAATTTCCTGATGAAAACTATAGTGACATGTCGTTACCGAGTGTATACTCCTCTGGCAGCGAGCCAAACTACGAGTACAGTTCACTCGCTCTGGACAATACCTCTAGATTTATGACCACTGGTGGCATCAACACCAGTGGTTATAATTCCGGTTCTGCAGATTATTCTTCAAGGGTGGCTCATTCTACGGATCAAGAGAGCTCACACTATCCGGATACGCCATTCAATTCGATAGTTCACGTTAATTCCGCAGTCAGTATCCCTAGAGCACATCGTCTATCGGAGGACAGTAGAGAAAGTTCATTTGATCGAGAGTCTCATTCAACGCCAATCAAAATTCCTAAACGAATGCAAAAACATGATGAATCTGCTCCGATACTTTCCGGTGGAGCTTCTATCGAGGACTTCACACCGAAATTATGCGAAAGTCCTGCGATTAGACGGCGAACTGACACTTGTCCAATCCTATCTGGTGGAATGAGCTTTGAAGAAGACTATAAGCCTGAGGAGCGAAGCAGAAAGCTGAGTAGTTCTGCCAAATCTTGGGTGGTGGATTTGAAAAACTGTCCCGATGACGAAAAATCAGCGGCTATGTCATCTATCGAGCACAATCGTAGTGGTTTGGGTTTCTTTGTTGATCTGGGAAGCATCAAAACGCCAGAAGAAGATAAATCAATTGTGGTTAACAATAAGCCACAGAATAGAGCGCATCATGATTTGATGAAAAAATCTACGGGTTTTTACATAGACATGTCCGACGGTGATAGTTCGAGGAGCAATACTCCGAAATTGACCAAGCCCGGGACACCTCCGGTGAAAAACAGCTCAAGTTGTAATAGCTCGCGAGCTGAATCCGTCGAAAAGGATCCAAAGAAGAACATGTTCTCTATGTTCATTGACATCGGCAGTGATTCGACACTTAAGCCGTCGCCAGCTCCTCGTAGGCTATCTGCTGCTTCAGCTGTTGTTTCTACGAAAGAAGAGCCCACTAGTATGTCAGTACCGAGCAGACCAGCTAATTTAGGATCCGAAGACAAGAAAAACTGCTACATGTTTATTGAATCAGACTCGTCGCCAATTGTACGCAGAAGCAATCCTCCATCTGTAGTAAAAAATGAATCCAAACGGCATTCCTGGAATCCCACCAGCACGGAAGGAACATTCCATGAACGACGGATAATGAACCGAGAATACCAACGATCAACTAGTGTCACCAGCGATAAAGGTATAATGAACATCTTGGACAAAATCCCGTTTTTATCCAAGACTTCCAGTATGTCGATTGACTCGTCCGTGTCACCATTTGAAGATTTTACCTGCTCCAAGTCGGAGTTGAGTACCTATTCGAATCATTCCATTTCATCGAATTCGGCTCACTCAAGTAACGAGTCCAAAGTTTCGCCCAAAGATGCAACTGGATTCATCCCCACGGAAATGACGGCGTCAGCTAAAAAGAAACGGAAGGATGTAAAAATCAACGAAACCTTCGACAAAAGTAGTCAAGGTTCGGTTACCGATGGAATCCTATCATCCAACGAGGACGCTTCTCAGGCGTCCACAACCACCGATACGGACGATGTAACATTCCAGAACAATCCTGCAGATGAACCAAACTGTATTCTTCCAACGGACCCAGAAAGTCCCAAACAAGTTCAGGAAATTATGTTACACACCACGGTTGGTAAACAAATGGAAACCATTGTCGAAGCAGTTGAGAGTTCCCCAAAACACATTCCTAGCGGATCGAGCAGCCGAAAGGCACAACACACAATGGAGACGCTTCATGCAACGATCGAAAAGCAAAAACAGCTTCTAGAAACTGTCTCGGAAAATGTTGAATCTCAGAGCTCTTCGTTTGTGAAATTGTCCGACATGGACAAACCTCCGGTGGCCCCGGCAAAGTTCGAGTTGCACTCCAGCAGTGGAAATGGGTCTGCCAGTGCTGGGTACATGTCTAACTCTGCTGGTTCGAACCGAGTGGCGCGGCTGTTTGGTGATACCCAAAAGTTTAACACTATCGGACCATCTCATCAATCCCAGCAACAGCAGCAGCAGCAGCATAATTACTACGTAAATGGCACTGTTTCGATGGAACGTCATTCGTGGAATATGTCACGATCCACGGGAAACAACTTTATGAACTTGGTTTCTTCAGTGGAGAATTCAAGAAGTCTTAGTCGGTTGTTTCCCCATCTTTCAAAAGGTATACTGTTGCTGGTCAGTTATATTTCCTATTGCTAAAATCTTGCTCTTCTTACACAGCTTTCAGCAACAGCTTACCATCTGATGTTGGCATGAACTCCGCCAATCGAGGTTCCGACATAAGCGAGTTAATTACATCAGATTTTTCGTGTACCTCTAGTATTACGTCTAGTCGTTCTGGATTTGGTAATTATGAACATGTTTTAATGTCTTAGGTCCAAATGTATCGAAAAGTGCTTGTAGAGATTTTAAACTACAGGGTTAAATTTAGGAGACAAATTTCTTACGAGCATCTATCTAAAACCACTTTTTTAGATTATTGTTGATGGTTTCTTTGATCCTATAACACTTCCCCGAATACCATTACTCCGAATGTTATTACCCCGAATAGTCAATTTCCCTGAATGCTCCTCTCATCATGCAAAAGGTTATTATAAACAGTTCTTTCGAAGCATAGGGGACGACGCGTCAAGGCGGCCACCCTAAGCTTGAATTAAAATTTAACCAAAACTGTATAACATTTCCGCGATAAATTGAGTGAATATTGATGTGCATAGTACTTTTCCTGAATACATTCTTTTTCAGATAATTTCCTTTTCATTTGATGATGAAAATAAGGACAATTTTTTTTGTTCGGGGTAGTGGTATTAGTAGAAATGGTATTCGAGGAAGTGTTATAGGATCGGTTTCATTAGTGACATTTTACATGCTCAACTTAAGATGCTGACAGTAAATGACAGACCAACAGATAGACTGTGTATATTTCCAAGTCATTTTTTCGATGATTTTGGACTCAAACTACCATGCTCATCCATGGCGGTCCAATTATTTATCGGTAAAACTAGTGGTTTTCCACATTTATTCCAAATGGTCATTATGCCAAACAGAATTATACAGAACGCGGTAGAGTGTAGCTGAAACAATCAAAACCTACTTTTTTTTTTAGAATCTATCGATGAGTCCATCTCTAGTCGACAACCGCGCCGGTTGGGGGAAGACCTGCTCAAAATGTTCCTTCAGGAGATCGCCACAGATGTGACGATCGAAGCCGAATCGAAGAAAATGCGAGCCCACAAGTGTATCCTGCGTTCGCGTTGTCAGTACTTTGCTGCTATTTTGGCCGGTGGGTGGGTACAGAATGCTGGGAACGTTATAAGCCTACCAGGATATTCGTATGCAGCTGTGCACTTTTCTTTGTGTCACATTTATTCCGGCGCCTCGCATCCACCGGAGGGTATTAGCTTGATGGAACTCGCAGCTCTGTCCGATCTTCTTGGACTCGAAGGACTCAAGGAGGTTACGGCTTACGCGTTGAAAACCAACTATTGTCACAATTTCCACAAGGTAGGAGCTGAGTGAATGCATACTTTGGGCTAGATTACATCACTGTTCCATTTTCAGCCTTGCTCTGGTTGCACAGATGGCGTATTGCAGGTCTTACCGGTGACGTTGAATCATGGCCTGGATGACCTGTACCGCAAATGTTTGAAATGGGTTTGCAGGCACTACGTCAAAATCTGGTCCAATAAGCAATTTTCTCAGCTCCCTGTGGATGTCGTCAATCGCTGTAGGCAACAGATTGTTGCCCATCTGGTAAGTTGACTTTTTACTCTGAATATTTCAACCCGTCTTCATTATTCGTATTTGCAGACGTCCGAAACAGTGCTGAGTACCATTTTGGATAGCGAACAGCTTCTAACCGTTCTTCAGCCGTACAAATGGTCGGTAGATGTGGAGAATGTGGTTCGGGATATCTTGGATGCTGCTTACGATTATATACAAGATCATTTTGCATCTCTTCTTGCTAGCGATAGTTTTCTCTCGCTTGGTCATAATTATAGCTGGGCCATCTCCCATGTAGAACCTATACTACTTCGAGCAGCGACGAGTTTAAGTCCCGATCAAGCCTGCAAGAGTTATCCACGTACCACAAGGTTGCACAAACTACTGCAAGCTAAAGTGCTCACAATGACAACAACGCCGTCTTCGAGTGACAATGTGAACATTTTGAATATCTACGAAAAGAAAAAGGTTGATCTTGATTATAATCGCGAAGAAGAAGAGATGGATTGGTGTGACGAGTTTGTTGGGATGGTGAATGCGATCCTTTCGGCAGTTGAACAGTGTTTAATCAGACAGTGCGCCAGGGCAATGCGAGTCAATTCATGGCAACGAATGGACGTCGAATTGAGGAATAAAATACAGAAGCTAGCGTGTCTGATGGAACCAACTGAGGATCGAAAGTCCCGGTCGAGGTACTCGTATTCCTCTCAGACAAGCTCGTCCTCGTCAATTCATTCCAGAACAAACGACTTGCGTCAAGTTCGATTGGCCATCCAGGCTCACACAAAGCGATCCTATGAAAATCAAAATCTTAACGTTAATAATAAAACCAACACCCAACACACACAAACAGTCGTTCTTCACAACGATCTGAACAACGTTTTGAATAGTCACAAATCAACAAAAACACACGAAATCATTGAACGAAACAACTTTCGGTCCGAACAACAAATCACGGAAAATGGTAAGCTATCTAAAACTGCTTCCAAGAGCCATGTCCCAGAACCTAAGGCAAACAAAGCGGCTATTAAGGTTGGACTTCTCAGTAAGAATAATCTGTCGAGCCATAAGCGCTCTCAGTCGGAGGACATGGGATCTAAGGTGGCAAAGACAGAGCCACTGAACAATTTGAAAACTAAGCTGAGCAACGTTAAACCCCGTTATTTGGAACCGAAGAAGCCAAAAAATACTAGCAATTTGCAGGTGCAGAATATTTCCTCCAGTGGCAGTTCAACGCGCACCTCTAGTCCGGCTACGGGACGCAAAAAAGGACCCCTAGGTAATTTTGCGGCTTGCAGTCTTCTCATTGACATATTATGTATTAATTTATTATTTTCTACTTTGCAGGTAACATCACAAAACACGGACACGATTCTAACATTTCGCTGGATAGTTTGTCTTCTCCTGCAAAGAATGCCAAAAATTTTAAGGCACGTCCAACCATCAACGAGATGGATGTTTCGATAGATTCGTTGGCCGAATCGTTAAAATCTAACTCCCTGAAAACGAACAGTACACTTTCACACGAATCTCTGATCTACCAAGAGTACTTCAAAACCAAGGATACAAATCTAGAAAAACCTCAGCAAACATACTCAAAGTCTAATCCGGTCATATTCAAAGATCGAGCAAACGGACCAAAGTCTATCGACTCTCTAGCTGCCAACAAAGGCTCAGTCCAGGCCAAAAGCAATCTCAAATCAGGTGGTCCGAGCAGTTCAAGGTTGGGACCGAACAAAGCGAATACTTCCTCGGCTTTAGGAATCAATCGCACCGCATCCACCGCAAGCGTAGGGTCCAATTCATCCTCTTCGTTTGTAAAGAAAAGCTTCCTTTCACAACGATCACGAGAAATTCTCGCACGTCGATCGAATGAAACAAAGTCCAACTCCACCAATTCCAGCAACAAATCTGCTGCTTCGTCACCTAGCCTAATGTCCAGGGACAAATCAACAGCTAGTGACATCACCAAGTCCGGATCCTCTGCTTCACTAACAACCCACAGCTCTGGAACGCGTAGAGTGTTCAACACAACGCTTCATCTTCGAAGAACAGCCAAATTACAATCAGATGCTATTCCGACTGCCAAGCAAGCGAATGAAGCACGAGCCGTCAAGAATAGCCACATTCCGATAGCGGGCATTCAATCTCGAAAGTCATCTTCCGCGGTCAATCGGTCAAACAGTAACAGCAGTAACAGTGGCAGGGCACTGAAGAATGTTCATGCGGTAATGATACCGGCAGCGGCACCAGCACCGGCAGTCGTTAGTAACAATCTGCACGGAGACGCCTATACGTCTTCGTCGTCTGACACAAGTAATAGCAGTGCGGGTGTTGCAGACGGTAAGCCACTGAGAGTGGAATCAAAACTTGAACGATCAAATACATTCTGTATGGAGGCCTCTGATAATCCCGTGGTACTACAGATAGTGGAATAAAATGCAAGAACAAAGTAAACATGATTACCCGGCAACGTGTGATAAGCAGGTGAGTAAACGATTCGCTTAATTGCGGTCCATTGAGAAAAAAACAGAATATTTCAAAAAGAAAACTTTTTTTTTTTCAAAAACAATGTCCCACAATTTTCTGAAACCGGATACAATTTTTTAAGTCGGTAAATTTTCTTTGTTCGTTTTTTCCAGATTGTGAAATTTGAGCTGCAAAATCGAGAATTACTAAATACTAAAGTAAGTACGGTGTATTGGCCTATTGGTTGAGATTTAAAACACAGCTGGATAAGTAAATCGTGCATAAATAAAATCTTAAGCAAATTGAGGTAAGTATAATTCTATGGTCAATCAAAAATGCATAGTGAATTAGAGGAACCTTTTTGTGTTGGACAACTAAGCCCGAGAAACGACTGTAGAGTAAGGTGGGGCAAACGTTCGCTTTGAGGTTTTTGAATCCCGTGGAAAATATAACTCAATGTTTTGACACTTGTTTGGAGGTCTTTTCATCAGTCATCGGGAAGCTAGAAATGCCTACAGTGCACTGCAGTGGGACAAAAGTTCGAGTTGGCGTGGTACTCTGACCAAAGCTTCAGAAAAATTGCGACCCTATTGTACTTATTGAGGTAAACCACTCTATTCAAGTGGATTTAGTCGTTCACCAAGTTCTGACAATCATCCATATTCTTGTTTTCGTACGAATCGCATTTTCCATACATAAAAAACTTTTTTTTTTGTATGGAAAACACGGTTTGAACGAAAACAAGAATATGGGTGAATATCTGGGTCTAAACATGGGATTTCTTTATGTCATTCATACCATCATGGGACATTTAAAGATATGTAGTTTGTGGTAAAACTTTTCAAAATCTGCCATTCAGTTTGCGAACTTTTGCCCCAGTCGAGCAGTGAACCCGGTAGTGTGGCCAAAACCTCTAGCGCCGTGGGTATGCATTCTACAGATCTCCGTTAAAAAACATATTCGAGTGCCATCTATACGGCAGGAATACGAACTAATCAGAAACCACCAAAAGCTGGCTCTTTGTAAACTAAATAAAAAAAGGCGGCAAATCTGAAGGATGCGTACCCACGACGCTAGTGGTTATGGTCACACTACCGGTAGCGTTGCCCCACTGTGCACCGGTTGACAAAAGTTCGTTTTGAACACTCTTCCGAAAAAAAATCGTTCTAACTACTAATGAACTGAAAATTCATCAAAGCTATTAAGGAGAGACTTTTGAATTTTTCAGCTAAGGTCGAACTTTCGTCCCACCTTACTCTAATGGTCAGACAATGCTGATATGAGCTTCATCACAACCTATCTAGTCATTTATTTATGTCAGAGTATTTTTGTTCTTCTTTAAGAAAAAAATCGGCTGAAATAACTTTTGTTTTGACAAGAAACGCCGATCCGACTGTGATTGAGGTATTTGAGCAGTATTTTGAGAGGCATTTATACAATGCATAAGCATGAGGAATTATTGACGATTCATAGTGGGCCAGCTTGGAGATTGAAAAGTAAAATGGAAGTTAGTTCACCTTTGAATAATACACAAATAATAGCCTCTAAACGATAACTGCTTCTACTAGAACAGGTGCTGCAAAAACTCGCTGCTAAAGCTTCTCAAATCGTACTTAAAATCGGTGAAAAATATTGAACAAGAGAACTATTCTCACCTACTTCTAGCTTTTACTTTGGATATTCGTATACTTAATGTAGTTGATTAGCTATTATACAGAAACTGCTTTATAATCGAGATAAAAAGAACAAAACTAATCGCTTGTAAAGGAAACCACCACCTAAAGAGTTTGCACTTTTGCTACTTGTAATGTTTGCATATGAATAAAACACTTTCGAGATGTGTTGAGTATGGTAAATTTTATTTCTGTGTTGGATGTATGTTACCGTATTGGTTGGTGTGGAAATTTATTCATCTATTGAGATAACTAACTTGGACTGAACATGAAGTGCATTGATAAGCTGAATCGAATATTTGACTTGTTTCAACTTACAGTTTCGATAGTTTATTATGTCCTGCTCCCAAGAAAAGCGTTATTTTTTCCATCGGTAAATTTGATCGAACTTAGCAGTATTCAGAAACTACAGCGAATTCGTACTCATTCAGTTAACATCGGCAAACGATAAAAAAGCACTCACGTGTTCTTAATGTAGGTTTTCTTTTGTGTTATATACCTAGTTATAGTGTTTGGTTTCTCTCCTTCTTATCAAAAAGTGTGATTTAATTACGCGACGTTTATGTTTGATTTATGTTTACCACACTTCGCAATTCTCTCAGAGATTTTTTTCACCGAACGCTTATGATTTAGGATTATTATATTGTACGAACAGCACATTCCCTCCAAATATACACTCTTTCTCATTCTGCTGTAGTTTTTCGTCTGAAAAATTATTTATATCGTTTTTTTTTAACATAAATCGTTACAACTAAGCAAAACTGCAAAGATGAACCAATATTGTGAAATCTATCATTTTACTTTCGTGCTCTATTAATTAAACAATTCCCATCTAAACAGGGCAACTATACAACATCAGACATATTATAACGGCAGCACTAGTTATAAAATTAACCGTTAATAAGAAGAATAAAACAGCTGTTTAATTTGTTCGTAAATAGAACACTAGTCATTTGTACAAATAGAACAAAGCATGAAAAGCTACTTATACAGCAATTGTGGAATTCATATATGTAGCATTGAAACGTCCACAGAAATGAGTTGAATTTAAATTGATCGTTTATCATTTCAAAGCGTTCTACATGTTTTTTTTTACGAGTTCTATTGTAATAATCATTGTCCGATAATCGTTTAGCGTTCTAGGAAATGCAATAATGTGATTTACGTCCTTAAGAACACATTTTCTGTTCGTTTATTTTGTGATACGTTTGAATTTGCTTCTCATTCTAGTTAGACCGTCGAATCTCTATTTATCTATTTCGATTATAAGTTTTGGGATAACTTGAAATTGCAGTTTGACAATGTAGTATGTCGAATTTGTAACCTGGAGCACATCCAGAGCAGAAATGGTCTAATAAATAAGAATTTATGATAATTAATCTCGAGTACTTCCAATTAGAAAATATAAAGAGAAATCCTTAGACTGCAATACAAATCCTTATGCTGGAAAAACGCTAATAGCACATACAAACAGAGGTACAGAACGCAACAATACCATACTGCTTCTCTCTGAGATGACTACGTTGGTTATGACGAGAGAGGCAACACAATAGTTGGGTAAAGAAGAATTGCATTATAACACACCATCGCCTGGAAATACTGGAAATACTTTCGGCAACGTGGGGCTCTAGGTAGTGATACACGTCGCTAGAACTATTCAACAGCCGCAGACAGTATATAAGTAAGTCAAACGCTCAGTCCGCATCGTGCTCTCTAGCCGTGCGGATCTATTTGCTTTTTGCTTAAGGAAGTGTTACTACTACCTAAAGCTACAACAAATTAAAAAAAGCACTTTTCAGTGCTCAACCTATAAAAAAAATTCTACCTTGTTCAACTCTTATTCCTCTTCGATCCTTGTTTGGACCCTACCCGAGGTAATTCTTCTTGGATATCGATTTGGGAAATTCCTCTTCGATCCTTCAGATTCTTATAGTAATCTGCTTGGAAGTCGATTTGGATAAAAATTTACTGCCGCCATGGGCGCCTAAACGCAAAAGAACGGGGCAAACTCTTGACCCCCCTTCTGATGAAATTAATTTGAGTAATCAATTTGATTTGCTCACGGATGATGAGAATGATCCATCATCAAAGAAAAATTCTAGTAAACTTTCCCGGCTTAATGCCAAGAAGGAAAAGATTCCCCCTATTGTGATAACCACTTCCGATTTCCATGCTCTTCGCATGGAACTTTCGAATTTCGTGAAAGTTAAGTTTTCACTACAAATTGGACGTCGGGGTGAATGCCGTGTATTGGCTGAAACCTTGGACGGATTTAAATGTCTTCTCAAGTATCTTACTGAGAAGAAGCACAAATTTTTTACTTACGACACCAAAACTGAACGTGTGTTCAAGCTTGTCATGAAAGGACTGCCCAATGGTGAATCCCTGGATCAGATCAAAGATGAACTGGAAAAATTACTTGGAGTTGTGCCACTCCAAGTAATCAAAATGAAAATGAAATCCCGTCCTGGCGATTCGCGCAACGGGATTTCTAATGATTTTTATTTAGTTCACTTCAAATCTAGTGAACTAAACAACCGTAAGGCCTTAGAAAAAGCTAGCCTTATGCTCCATGTCCGAGTGAAGTGGGAACACTTCAGGAAGACTGGAGGAAATTTCCAAAACCTCACTCAGTGCCGTAAGTGCCAGGGATGGGGTCACGGAACAAAAAATTGCTACATGCCAGCTAAATGCATGAATTGTGGTGATTCCTCTCACGCAAAGGACGACTGTCCTGTGAAGGAAGATCCTAAGAAATTTAAATGTTCAAATTGTGGTGAAAACTCGCGATCCTACAATCTCGTTCTAACCGTCAGGTAGGAAACGCTCCACGTTTCCTAACAGGTACAAATTCCTCTGCTGTTAACAACGGTCAGCGAGGAACAAATTCTACATTCGTACCCGTAGGTACAAATGTCACCCCTGCTTCAAATGTTTCATCTGTACCTACTCCCCTCGCTGCTAACAATGTTCAGCTAGTTAATGGAGCTACCAATGATATGCACCGGGTAGAAATCAAAATACTACCCAACGTTCTAACGGAAATTTTGACAATTTTGACTTAGGAAGCATTACTGCTCCTAAAATGGAATTTTTACAGAATTCATTAATTGACATGATTTCTGATATGCTTAAATCTAACTCCATGTTTGATGCTATTCAAACTGGAGTAAAATTTGCTAATAATATTGTCATGACTTTAAAATTCAGTAATGGATTTTAAAGCATTAAACATTTTAAATTGGAATGCTCGATCTCTTAAAGATAATGAAGACGAGCTATTTAACTTTTTGAGAGTTCATAACGTGCATATTGCCGTTATAACTTAAACGTTCCTTAAACCTGACCATAAGGTTAAGAAGGACTCAAATTATTTAATTTATAGAAATGATCGTCTTGATGGACCCTGTGGTGGCGTTGCCATCATTGTTCATAGACGAATAAAACATCAAATTCTTTCTTCATTTGAAACCAAAGTTTTTGAAACTTTGGGAGTTTCTGTTGAAACAAAATTTGGACAACTTACGTTTATAGCTGCCAATTTGCCATTCCAATGCGTAGGCCAGCAAAAGAATTTTCTCAAGGGTGACCTCCAGAAACTTACCCGTCATAGGTCTAAATTCTTCATTATTGGTGATTTTAATGCAAAACACCGCTCATGGAATAATGCTCAAAGCAATTCCAATGGTAATATTCTGTTTGATGATTGTTCTGCAGGTTATTACACTATTACAGCCCAACATGCTTTTCTTCTGCAAGAAATCCCTCCACTATTGATTTGGTCTTAACTGATTCATGTCAACTTTGTAGCCAATTGGTTACCCATGCTGACTTCGGTTCTGATCACCTTCCAGTAACTTTTGAAATATCCCAAGAAATAATTTCCAATCCCAACAGCTCTACTTTCAATTACCATAGGGCTGATTGGGAGCAATATCGAACATTTATGGAATATAACTTCGATCCAAACATTCCTTTGCAAACCAAAGATGAAATTAATTGTGCTCTTGAATCTCTGACTACTTCTATAGTTGAAGCAAAAGCTGCCTCAGTACCAAAATGCGAGGTTAAATTCGATTCAATTATAATAGACGATGATCTTCAGCTCTTGATCCGTCTTAAAAAATGTCCGTAGAAGACAATATCAAAGAACACGCGATCCTGCCATGAAAGTTATCTGGCGGGATTCGCAAAAACAAATTAAAAAACGATTCTCTGCCCTGAGGAACAAAACTTTTGAAAATAATGTTTCTAAATTAGACCCTTTTCTACGTTTATCCTTAGGACGAAGAAAATCTAATGGCGTTTCAATGCGTTTGGACGGAATTAAAACTCGTAGAACGAATTTAGAATCAAGAAGCAGTATTAGATTTTAAACAATATCTCAACAATTTGTGACTTTTTATCAAATCCACCGGTACGTATGGAAAGGTGAATAAATTTAGAAGTCATTTTTGACAGAAATATTCCATTTTTTGTTTCAACTCGTTCAGAAAAGAGAGGTAAAGTGCGGGTTGTGCTTAGTAGGACGGAAATTAGATCGAAAACCCTACTATGTTTTCAAGTAAAACTTATTCAAAGCGTTAACGTCTGTTCGTCTGTGATATTAGTTTAGCATTTCTCAACTCTCAAACAATGTATTTTATTTAGACAAATGCAACTCATATTATTCTATTACGGTTAGGGGTGAGTCAACTTTGAATAGTCCTTTCAATCTGAATTGAGGTTGTAGTGGCACCTACGGTACTGTTGTTTGTTCCCGGTAGGTTTCATGAACGGATGGCTTAAGCGCCACCTCCAAAGAGGACCACCTGTTGTGTTTCGCGATGCCCGGCTAGATACTGGCCAAAAGAGCCAGTTCTAAAATTAGTGAACAGTGTCGGGAACAAGACCAACAAACCCGAGTGACTCAAGGAAGGTATCATGTATCTATATAGTATTATTAGTTTGCAGGAGCAATTACATTCAAAATTTTATTTTCTCATTATCGTCCAAAAACAAAATAAATCTATTGAGATATGGCTTTAGTACGTTTCGTTCATTTTCGTATTATCAATATGATATATGAAGACATCCTTGAAGAGCATGTTCTTCGTGTACCAGTAAGTGTAATCGATCTCGCGATCGAATGGGAAGCCCATTGGCAGGTTATCGATGAAGTTGTATTTACCGCACATGAAAGTCTTATCGAAAATCATGTCGGATTTGGTTTCCGTAACGGTGTAGGGTGTGATGATGAAGTAGAGCTGCATCTTCATGCCACTTGTCCAGCCCTTTGGCAGGATCAGGCGATCTGGGAATCCACAGTGAGCTTCAGACATGTCAAGTATGAACTTATCCTTGTCAGCAATGGCCAACATCATTTTCTTATACAAATCGGTGTACATTGTTCGATCTCTCACGCTCCAGTAGAAATCGCGCGATTTACGAATGAAGGTATTCTTGCCAACCACCATGTCAACCAAATACTGATCAATTTCAATAAAGAATTTTCGGTAGTATTCCAAATCCATCAGTTTGTCGAACTTCGGTCCAAGGAAGACACGGATTACACCCTTTCCGTTGAATTCGGACATAACATCCAGCGTGTAGGTGAATGGCTTGTGGTTTAGGCGCATGGTACGACCAAGTACGGAAAGGTCCCAGTATTTATCAACGTTCATCATGGGAATCACGTTCGAGATATCGGAATCAAAGTATTCGAAGTAGGTCATCATTTTGTCGATCGCAACATCCTTAATAACGACACCCTTGAAAGTAAGGTCTTCCATTGTATAGTATGGCAAGTAGCTCTTGAACAGGTAGTAGAAGCTCATCAGACGATCCCACAGCTTGTAGAACATTGGATCACGCAGAGTGGTCTCGTAGTGCATAAGGGCAGATGGCCAAGTCTTCATGGTCACGAAGTCCATTCCACTCAAAAGCATCTTTGACATCATTTCAATGAAACCGAATTTCTGGCACAAGATGTTGTCCATGTTGCAATTCATCATCTTTCCGATGAAATCAATGTTCTCCCATTTGCGGAGGTCAATCTTGGTTCCATCATCCATCATGTAGAAGCCATCATCGATGATCTTACGCATTCTCATTTCCCAGTCCTTAATCAAGTCCAGCTTGAAGTAATCGTCGTCCTTGATCATGAAGTTGACATCTCGGTACTTGAATGGAATTCCGTTCCAGTAGCTCAACAGCGAGAAGTAACCAGTCTCGAGTGGGAATCTCCAGGTTAGCATCTTAGTTGGGTACATGAAGTTCGAGAAGCGCTCCAGGTTGTATCTTGCCAACAGTTGCTGGTGCATGTACAGGTACAGTTCTCCGCTACGTTCTTTGAGCAAACCGAACTTATCCCCTCCAAGGAAGAATGGATAGTCCATCATGAAGTAGAAGTAGTATGAGTTCAGTCCAATGTCCTCGTAGTAGTAATCCATGACCATTCCGTCCTTCATGTAGGTGTCCGTGACTGAAACCTCGTATGGATAGGTCATGGTGAAGTTGGAGTACACAACATTGTACTTTCCGTTGCCATAGAATCCGAACTTGAGGTCGTATATCTTACGATACGTGGCAGTACGGATGATGTCGGTATTGAAGAAGTAGTATGGGTAGATTTCGTAGATGGCTGGGAGGACCAATCCTTGGAGGTCCGTGCGATGAAGAACAGTCAGCGTTATGGCATAGATGAACATGCCTTCATTAATGTTCTCACGAGCCCAAATGACGTTTTTGTAGTACGTATCCCAATCAAGAGAGTTGTACAGGAAGCTGAACAACATGTAGGTCTGCTTCAGGAGATACTTGTTGTTGATTGTAAAAATTTCCCCCTTTCCTAGGAAGAGGTCCATCTTGTACATGTTGAAGAACTCAATCACTTGGTCGTAGTTCTAGATAAATACAAACTACAAATTAGAAAAACGTAATTTGATATCATGAATCATTAGACACTTACGGTATACTTGGTATTGTCCTCGATCCAGGTCTTGGTGTACGTCATATATTCCTCGTATTGAAGCGGCATGTGAATGTTTCGCAGAATTTCGAAGAAGAATTTCTGCTTCATGAGGAAATCCTTGTCAGCTATTGTTTGATACAGAACACATGTTTAAAATGTTTGAAATTCAAAGTTTTGATTGACCTACCGAATTTCATATTCTTTTCGATACTTGGAACGTACGTTCCACTGACTATTACGGCCAGGGAAATGGTAAGAGCTGCTACAATGAGCTTCATCCTGGCAACTGATGCTCTCTCCGGACGAATGCCAATGAACTTATGATGTGTAACAGAGCTGCGAGATTGCTTTTATATGCTGAATGGTGCTTCATCTTGTTCGTATGATGCGCAAATTTTGTACTATCATACAGTGGGATGATTACAGTTTATCAGTATTATTTGGACACCTTTGCAGTTTAGCTGGCAGTATCAGAATAAGTGGACTAGGGTGCCAATGAAACGGACCAAATATAATATGTTTATTGCTTCGAATAAATACCCCTATGCAAAATTTGGGCTCAATCGGGCATGATTTAGGGGTGCCGCAAAGCGGTCAAAGTTTGAACTTTTTTCTTTGGGATATTTTTCAGATGAAATAAGTTCAAACTTTAAACTTCACCCTGTCCGATTGAGCCCAAATTTAGCATAGGTTCTTTTTTTTCGAGGCAATGGACATTTTGTATATGCGCCATTTAAAAAATTCGATGTTTTCTTTTTCCCCATACACTTCATTGGCACCCTAAAGTAGACCCCTCATGAACCAATTTCGCTGCTATAGCGGAAATGGATGTAATGTCGGCCTAAATGCCCCTAATTGGGGCCCATACATAAATTCAGCAATCGACTAAATTTTCAATTGCGACCAAAAATATCCATTTGTAACGTCCTAATGAAGCGTTCATCTAGATAAAATTGATAAATAGCTGATTTTTAGCGATGGGTCCAATCTTAGATCCATAAGCCAACATTAGAGCCATTTCCCCTACTTTATTCTTTGGAATTGTAATAATCTTTTGCCGTCAAATTTATAACAGAGTACACACAAGCAAAATGGCGAATACATAAATTTTAATTAAGGACTTCATGCAGTTTCTGTACATTTCTTACGAAAAATGTATTTGTAACACTTTCACCAAACCTATCCAACGTACGGCCCACCATGAGTTAGGAAAACCTATTTGTAACTGTTGTATCCAACTAACGAATCCCAATTCTTAGATGTTTTCGCTTCTATAAAAAAAAACAGACAAAGTCAGAATTTGTCAAAAAAATTGTTTACCAAACTTTTAATGTTAGTTGTTCTGAGGCATAACATCTCTTTTCACGTCTTCCTTCGGAAAGGAAGTAAAGCCGTTGGTCCTCAGTTCATGACTTGATGGGTCGATAGGTAGGGTCCAGGTGTGGAAGCTGCCTCCCTAGCGTCGGAGAATTGGTGCTCAGCTCGGAAAACAAGATCGACGGAGAAAACAAATCAAGGAAAAAAAAACCCTGCTACAAAAAACCGCACAAAACAAAACTGTCCCAAGAATGAAACCATGTATCTATTGTAAATTTAAGGTCACTAAATCTAAATCTGTAACCTAAACCGTCCATGGTCTAGTATAAGAGAGGAGCGGATTCAAACTGCCTTGGCAGCCTATGCCTAGGTGAATTCTAGCAACACTGCCAATCAAGATAGGCGCTGCTCGATTGGCTCTGGCTTTGACAGTTCGTTTGGCTCAAAACCAGCCAGTCCGCTCCTCTCTTATACTAAACCCTCTCTAGTATGGACGGTTTAGGTTACAGATTTAGATTTAGTGACCTTACATTTACAATAGATACATGGGGGAGGTAGCTCATCCGGTTCGCCTCCTAGCATCGTGCTATAAGGTACCAGGCGATAACCAGGGTAGTTGATCGATAGCTCGATGACGTCATTTCGTTGGCGTCTGCAATGGGAAATTCTCATAGCAGGCGTTGACGATGGGACGTTGTCGAGTTGTTGAATAGCAACTATTGTGGTAACTCACCGATTACCTGTCGATCTGCCAAATTTGGAAAGACGTCTGCATTGTATTGTCTCATATAATAATATTCCACCCACTATATCAAAAGAAATTGCGAGTAGCTGAGTGGAATGGAGATAAGTTAAGCATTGGGTACAGGACCAAATCTCCCCTGGGTGGTGCCAGAAGATGAGCGCAATAGAATCATTAAGTTGCCATAAGGCACGGAATGAGACTATTGCATGGCTGGGTAGTCAAAGTCTTCCATTCGTTAGTCATTTCAGGTGGATTAGAACAGGTTTAGGTTTATACCCCGTTCACATTACAGCGTATATCACGTGATATACGCTGTCTTGCAATGAGCACTCATACATCTAGTTTTCACTGGAAATCCTATGTATGAGTGCTCATTGCAAGACAGCCTATATTACGTGATATAGGTTGTAATGTGAACGGGGTATTATACCCCAGACAGACTATGGCTTATATCATGTAATATAGGCTGTCTTGCAATGAGCACTCATACATCTAGTTTTCACTGGAAATCCTATATACGAGTGCTCATTGCAAGACAGCCTATATTACATGATATAAGCCATAGTCTGTACGGGGTATTAGGGTGGGCGTTGGCCACATTTGGATTTTTCAGATATAATCCTAAATAGGACCTAGATTATTTAATACACTAGTAACCTCAACCTCTGTCACAATGTTTCATTGTGATTAATCAGCACTCAATGGGTAAAATATCAAATTTGCTGTAAATTTGAAAAAAAGGGAACTTGGAGTGTAGAGCGCACTGATCACTGGACGATTCTGAAGCCTGGCCAAGTGAGTGGGTTACGGGTTTATTTCAGGCATAATATTTGATAACGGCACAAAAGCATTTGTAAAAAAAATTCTAAGGCCCTTTACACGCGAACCAAAGTACGCACACGCAAACCAATACCATTTTCGAAAAGGTGAGAGTTGCCCCTATCCGATGATAATGTTGGTTTGCGTGAGCGTACTTCGGTTCGCGTGTAAAAGGCCTTAAAAAGTTTGTTTACAACAGCTTTTGTGTCGTTATCAAATGTTACGCCTGATTTGATTGTACGTCATTTCCAAGTTATATATAGATACATTCATACCATTGGCATTTTGTATTTGAGATAAAACAGAGATAGGATGCGGAGGGCCCGCTTAGGGGGAGTGTAACCCATGTTATGGCTTCCATTTATTAAATAGTTCAGATAGGCTGGAAATGATAGGTTCATGGTGAGAAAATGTACCATATGGTGCCCGTTCACTGATCAAAATTAGATTCAAATCGTCAGGCCCTGCCCTGGAATAAGGGGATTGACGATGATTTGTCAAGTTTCATCTTGCATTTGCATATAATTGTAAGTTTAGGTTTGCTTTTGTAATTGTAAGATAGATAGTTTGCCTCAATTGAAACATTGAGTTGTATAAACTTGACGAATCATACCTCTAAAATAGTAGTAGTTACAGTGCCGCATGATCTAACAACCACTGCCTGCCGGAAGGGCCGGCAGGGCCGATTACGGATCAAAACTAACCTAACTCTAACACTGAAATGATCCCGAAACTAACGCTCATTCATTGCACTTTGAGTCATAAAGTAGTTTTATTTATTTTCCTACTAATCTATCTACACACTTAGTTTTTTCTACCGAGCTCGGCTGTGCGGGTCTCGGCGGGGAGGGTTTCGCTGAGATCTCGGCGGGAGTGACATTTGATTGCTGAATCTCTGATAATGCCTTTTCTAATAATCTGCCTACGTTTCTTTTCTTTGTTATTTACTATATCCCCTTTTTATTTTTCTGTTCTTCTTTCCTCTTCTCTTCTTTTGTTTTGTTTGTTTACATATAACTAATACTAATACCTCCTTGTTTTCTCTCTAATTTGTCTACTATGTCCCACCATCACGATGAGAGATGAGCTACCGTACATGGTACACGCTCATATACACTCTCACAATAGTATGCCGCAAGTGAGTATATCACAGAGGCAACTAAAGATCCAGAAACAAAAACCGATGGCGCTGAAGATAATGAGGTAACTACTACACTGTATTGTAATTTGTACAATAATACTCACATTATTTATTATAAATTATATACTTTATTATATATTTATATTTAGCTGTGATGATTTATATGACTATATAGTATTATTTATTTATACTAACCTAAACACAACGTGGGGTGACCCAAATCCAAACGATCACTAACCAAAATAATAGACTTATCTTTTTCAGCAGGTGTAGTTTCGTTTAGTTCTGTTTCTCTCTTTTCAGCAAAACACCAACAAAAAACCTCTATAACTCTTTTCCATTCTTTTAATCTCCTACTATCCCCTATAAATGTATCGGAAACTAGTGGGACTGTCTGTGCAAACAGAAACAGGCCTGCTAGTGGAAGAAGGTCGTTATGCTATACGGTCTAGCATAGGCCTACGGCCAGGTTTGAGTAGGTACACACTCGCTTAACGGCAGATTGGTTTACAGTGGTCGACCAGGGTGTGTGCAGATATATTACAATTACAATTACAATTAAATTTAGAATAGATACATGGTTTCATTCTTGGGACAATTTTGTTTTGCGCGGTGTAGCAGGTTTTTTTCCTTGATTTGTTTTTCTCCGTCGATCTTGTTTTCCGAGCTGAGCACCAATTCTTCGACGCCAGGGAGACAGCTCCCACACCATCAAGTCATAAACTGGGGACCAACGGCTGTACTTCCCTTCCGAAGGAAGGCGTGATCAGAGATGTTATGCCTCAGTACATCCAAGCGGCGCCGACTGGGATTGAACCCAGGCCTGCTGGGGGTGAGAGGTAATCACGCTTACCACTACACCACCGGTGCCGCAGTGCAGCAGGTTTGTAAAAGAAGTTTTTACATAAGATAGTAAATATCTGGGCTACCTGGTAACACTTTTTCTAATCTAATTTAAGTGTGGATATTCGGATTTAAAATTTGTAATTCTATGATATTTTAGCATTTTAACACGCCTTGCCCTAGTTTATTAAATATTCATTAAGATATGTTCAGTCTCCAGTACACATTTGTTAAACATTACATACATTCATATATCCTTGTGATAGATGAGGACATCCTTGAAAAGCATGTTTTTTGTGTACCAGTAAGAGTAATTGATCTCACGATCGAAGGGGAATCCCATCGGGAGATCATCAATGTAACGAAGGCCAGTACCAACTCCACATGAAATTGACTTATCGAAGAATGAAACTTGTTGCACA